GACTATCTTGACTCTTGGGAGGGAAGAGCATTATGAGTCAAGGAATATAATTATGAAAAACACATTTCTGAGGAACAGGATGAGCATCTAGTACAGCTAACAGCTGGCATTCAGTAGCTCCTGGTGGTGGTGGTTTTCTCAGGGGCCAGGGATGGAACCTGGGTCTCATGCACTCAAGACATGACACTCTGATTCAATAGCTCTTAACTTTTTTCTTTGAGAATCGAACAAAAATCTGAGGGAAATATTACATATGCATTACCCAGACCCATGTTTCTGTGTATGATTTCAAGGACTCTTGGGGTTCCTGACATCCTTTGTCCCATACAGTAGGGACAAATGACCCATTCTTGTGCTTTAATCCTCAACACCCTTTTTTTCACCCCAGAGAATCAGCAATTGTTAGCAGACAAACACAGGGAGAAAACACAAATGTAGAATTCAATTCCAGTGCTTTGGAACCACAAGAGGAAATTGTTTCTGAGGGAAACTTCAGCTGGTATTAGGTTACAGTGAGAAAAAACAATGAATGGCCTAGTTTTGGAAGATACCTTTGCTGCCAGCCTAGAGGGACAACTATGCAAAAGATGGGGTATGGGGAAAGTGTGATGGGGCCTGCGGAAGAGAAAGCAGCCTGGAGTGTGTCCATCCCAGGCTCTCAAGGGACCAGCCCCCCCCTTCTCCATCTTGCAGATTGCTCAGCTGCCCTTGAGCGGAAGCATGAGTATCATCTTCTTCCTGCCTCTGAGAGTAACCCAGAACTTGACCATGATAGAAGAAAGTCTCACCTCTGAGTTCATTCATGACATCGACCGAGAACTGAAAACTGTTCAGGCCGTCCTGACCATCCCCAAGCTGAAGCTGAGTTACGAAGGCGAAGTCACCAAGGGCCTGCAGGAGATGAGTATGTGTGCAAGACCCTTTTGTGTGAGGAAGGGGTGGGGCCACCTGCCCAGCTAAGCAGGACTGTGAGAGGTGAAAGGGAAGGTTGAACTCTCCTGTCTGTCCCATTCCTCAGCCCTGTGAGCCAATGGCAGGAACTCAGAATACCCCCTCCCAAGACAGGCCTCATGACCTGGTTTCTAACTTCAGCCTCACCTGCTATGTGCTCTCGGGCAAGCAAGTTTAGCCCTTTGCCAACCCAGATCTCCACGCGCGAGTTCAGAGGTCTCTCTCTATTTCGAGTTTGCTTACCTTCTTGGGGATTAGGAGTAAAGAATCATGAGGGCTGGGGAGATAGTACAGTGGGGAGGGTGCTTGCCTTGGGTGGTCGACTTGGGTTCAATTGCCAACACATCACATTAAATGGTCCTCCGAGGCAACCAGGAGTGATTCCTGAGCACAGGGCCAGGAGTCACCCCTCAGCACAACAAGGCGTGGGCCCTCCAAAGAGCAACAACAAAGAACCATGACTGCATTCTCTGGGGTGTTGGGTGAGACCTGGCTTTAATGGAACTCTCTCTCCATCTCCGCAGAGCTACAGTCCTTGTTTGAGTCACCAGACTTCAGCAAGATCACAGGCAAACCTGTTAAGCTGACTCAAGTGGAGCACCGGGCTGCTTTTGAGTGGAATGAGGATGGCGCAGGCGCTGCGCCCAGCCCGGGGCTCCAGCCTGCCCGCCTCACCTTCCCCCTGGACTATCACCTTAACCAGCCTTTCATCTTTGTACTGAGGGACACAGACACAGGGGCTCTTCTCTTCATAGGCAAGATTCTGGATCCCAGGGGTGCTTAATGCTCCAGGTGAATGTTTGAATGCTCTAGAACACGGCATTCTAGACGCGGCAGATTATATATTACCTGAAGGCTGCCTATTATGTTTCAATACTCTTTGCAATAAAAGTACTTTTTATCCTCATTTTTCTGACTTTGTTCCTCCTTGTATTTCAAGGTGTAAGTATACTAGACAGTAAATCACCCTTTCGGAATTTGCTGGTAACTAGAGGCAATTTCTATCTGAACTCTATAGAGAGTCACTATTTAGAAGAGTGTTTGCTTATTGGAATTGTGCAATGAGGGAGTGACTGGCTGCTCAAGGGGTATTTATCTGCTAGGACCACTGTTCCACTCTCCTTGGCTGGAGCAATAGCACAGCAGATAGGGCATTTGCCTTGCACGTGGCCAACTTGGGTTCAATCCCCAGCATCCCACATGGTCCACTGAGCACTGCCAGGAGTAATTCCTGAGTGCATAGCCAGGAGTAACCCCTGTGCATCACTGGGTGTGACCCAAAAAGAAAAAAAGCCGTCTCCTGCCCTCCAACCATGTGCCTCCTCCCCCAATAGTGCTTAAATGAGACTTTAGGTGACTTATGTTCCTTTCTTCCTTCCTTTCTTCTCTTTCCTCTCTTCAGTTACAGAGGAAGTGTGTGTGTGTGTGTGGGGGGGGGGGAACAACAGATAATCAAGATGATCTGATGGTCATTTTTATAAAACAGACCGATCAGAGAGCAGAATCAGTGAGGGTAGGGCTAGGCAGTCTATATAAATACGGGTCACTGCAGAGATCAGACTGGAAAATGGCAGAGAATAATGAAGAGGGGAGGGAGCAGCAAGCAGCCAGTTGGGGGTGCAGCTAGCAGTGATGGGGCTGCTGTTCCGGACAGGGATGTCTCTGTATGAGCTGTCAGATAAAGGAGCTACCACTGAAGCTATCTGGTGGTCATGATGCTCATGATGCTAATCTTACACACTGGCCTTAAGAACCTGAAAATTAGGCATATCCACTGTAGATAGCCTCCCTCCCCCTCCTCTCCCTCCTTCCTTCCTTCCATCCTCTCCTCCCGCCCTCCATTCCTTCCTGAAGCAAAGTAATATTTTTGGTTTTGTATTGTTTTGGGGGCCACACCCAGCAGTACTCGGGGCGTACTCCTGGCTCTGCATTAGGGATCACTCCTGGTGGTGCTCGGGGAACCATATCGGGTGCCAGGGATCAGCCCTGTGCAAGGCAAGTGCCCTATTCACTGCACTATTTCTCTGGCCTCAAGCAAAATAACTTTCACTGAAAGAAAATGAAAAGAGAAATGTGAGAGAAAGAAAAGATAAACGTGTTCAAGAGAAAATGCCAGCTTCTCCAGAGTGGGAAAAGCTCTTTCCTTCTTTCTCTCTCCTTCGTTCTTTCCCTTATTACCAGACCCTCATGTGACTGGGAATAAACGGACCCGACCCAACACTGAGCGGTCGGCAGTGTGCAGCGTGAGCCTGGCCCTGGAGTGGGAGGTCCCGCTTTCATAGCTCAATGCACTACATTTTACCCCCCAGTCAAGCTGGTGTCATACGACAAGAGGGAAACACATGGAATGATAAGGGAGGTAATTTGTAATTTTGGGAAATTAATCCTTATTTATGTATTCTTTGGTTTTGTGGTCACATCTGGCAATGCTTAGGGGTCACTCTTGGTGGTGCCTGGGATGGAACCCGGGTCTCCTGCATGCAATGCATGTGCTCCAGCCCTTGAGCGATCAATCTGGCCCCCAACAGAACCCTATTATCTGGGGGGCAGGTGACACCTGGTGTTGCTCAGGACTTACTCCTGGCTCTATGCTCAGGGATTACTCCTTCAGTGCGTGGGGGACCATATGTGGTCTGGGGGGTCAAACCCAAGTCAGCGGTATCTAAGGCAGGAGCTTTACCTGCTGCATTACTGCATCAGCCCCTCAGCAAAAACAATTTTTAGAAATAAACATAACAAGCCTTTCAAACTGAATAACCCTAGAACTAAATTCGAAAAAAAAATTTAGTTTCTTTTTAGATCACACTTGGCTGCACTCAGGGATCACGCCTGTCCGGGCTTGAAGGACCATATGGGATGCCAGGATTGAACCCAGGTCAGATGTGTGCAAGGCATGCGCCCTGCCCGCTATGCTACTCTCCAGCCCCCAGAACTAATTTGTTCGCTAAAAATATCTCACTGGCTACTACCTTGTTTAGTGAGTTAAAGGGGGGGAAATAAGATTCTGGGCTACTCCTGGCTGTGCCGAGGGGTCACTCCTGGACATGCTCAGGGAAGCATGCGGTGGCAGGAATCAAACTGTGTGCATGGTAAGCACCTTAACCCCTGGACCACTCTCCCCTTACCCCGCCCCCTACTATAATACTATGGCAACCAAAGGGCCAGGGTAGACAAGCTCTCAAAACAGTATGGGATAGGACAGCCTTGCACGAGGCTGATCCAGGTTTAATCCTGGGTCAAAGCAAACAGAAAAAAATCAGCAGTGTGAATTTGGCATTTTTCTTTTTTCCCCTGGTTTTTGGGTCACACTCAGCTGTGCTCAGGGCTCACTCCTGGTTCTGCACTCAGGGATCACTTCTGGCAGGGTTCAAGGAGCCATAGGGGACCATCGGAGGTTGCTGGGGATTGAACCTGGTAAGGCAAGTGCCTTACCTGCTGTACCATCTCTCTGGCCCCTGAACGTGGCATTCGTTCTCACCAATTCATCTGAACCTCTCAGACACCAGTGGTGATGTTATAGGGGTCAGACTCAAGCCTAGTCTCGGGAGTAGGATGGGGCCAAGGCTCCCCATCCAGATGGGAGAGATTGTTCTTACCTTCTGTCTTAAGTTTGAAACATGAGTCCGCAGGGCCTGCATACTTGGCATCTTTGGAAAGCTTCTTCCACTTCTCAGTACCCACGCAATATATTTTTTTTTGGGGGGGGACCCTTCTCACAGTGCTGGGGATCACCAAGGCCAGACCTGGTAACAGCTGGAGACACGCGGTGGTGCTGTGGCTTCCCGCAGGGCTGCGCTCACCGGGCATGTGCTCCAGTCTCTGTGCTTCCTGCCCAGCCCCTGTGCAGTCTACATCTCGCTTGCCAGCTTGGGAAACACTGGTTGAAAAACGTTGTTTCTTTCAGGCTTGCTAATAAATAGAACTCAGAAAGTGGGCATACGTGTTATAAAAGCAAAGTGTCTCATCAGTGAGTGTGCCAAGAGTATAGAATGAAATATCGATGATAAAGATGGAAAAAATTGGTCGAAAACAAGCTTCGAGTTGCCATCCCGGGCAGACACTACCCAGCAATAAAATGGCCCCATATTTATTTCTCGACTCACAATTCATACTCCACTAGTTTAAACAAAGGATGCAAGGAAGCTAGATATCATAAATGAAATTGTGTCTCTGGAGGTAAAGCGCTTCAGTGATTTCTTGCTTTATAATTATTTTTCAATTACAATACAAGTGGTAAGCGTTTAAGTTCCCACTGGAGTGGTACACACCATTTCATTACTACTAGAAACCAAAGGAATGTTCCGGGGAAACAGACCATCATCACTGAGCGAGGTGGAGTCTAGCCAAAACCCCAGGCTCCTTTCCAGATGCTGCAGATCAGCTAAAATACCTTGAAAGGGCTTTGGCTCTCTAGATACTAGTTTTCAGTCTTTTCTGGGAACTGGGGGTTTTTACTGGAAGGCAGTTAACTATTTCAGGAAACGTTCCTCAAAATAGGTGAACATCTCTTTCCAGACCCACTGTTTTTCAGGGCCCCTTTTCTGCTCCTCTCACACACAAAGCAAGGAGTGTGCGTTGAGTCCTGTACTTCTTGGCGGCTCAGCAGCAACGGGACCCCTTCCCTTCTCCTTCCTCAGGCTACTGTACTGTGGGCCTGCATCCCCAGGGACTACACTGCCTGCAATGACGCAGGGCCCGGGGGCAGGTCCAATAAGCAGGATTTCATCTGTTGTAGCTCCTGGATCTCATCATCCCCCGGGTCACAGTGCAGCAGCAGGACCTTCTCTGCCCTGTAGATTGTGCTCAGGGCTTCGGCGACGGCACATCTGAAACAAAGGAGGAGAATGCGCACATGAAGCTGGCAGGTGCTGCTCCAGGCCTCCTCACCCCGGGAGGAACGCATGGGCACAAGCCAGAGTTTTTGTCTTCAAGGATCTTACATGCCAGAGGGCAGATAGGACATTGCCGCAAATACTGGGCCTGGCCTCGTTTGAGAATAAAGTGGGAAGAAAGGATAAAGGGCCTGTGTGTACGCTCGGCGCTAGCCTGTGGCCTCTTGTGTGTGGCTAGGGGTGGCCCTGCCGGGAAGGCCCACAGATTAAACCAAAACCAACAGAAGGGCAGAAATATTTCAGGAAGCTAGGAAAGAGTTACTCTGCAGCCTCTGATCTGCTACATAGCTTAAGGTTTACTTAGGAACCTTCATTTAATTACAATGTCAGCATTTTCGGTCAGAGTTGAAAACATTTTAGAACAAGTCCTTGGCATTCTCCAAATTATTCTTGGTGACTTTGAGGACCCTCTGGCCATAAGTGGAACCAAAGAGATAGATGAAAAGTCACCCGAGGTGGCAGTAGGCAGGAGAGAGGACAGTGGGGAGGGCACCTGCCTTGCATGCAGGCAACTGGATTCGAACCCCAGTATCCCATATGATCACTCCCGCGCACCGTCAGGAGTGATCCCTGAGCACAGAATCAGGAGTCGGCTTTAAGCACTGCTGAGTGTGGTTCCCAAAACAAAATGGAACTAAAGTCAACTTGGGGAGCTTCCTTTTAGAGTAACCAAGTGTGCCTGTTACCTAATTATTCATCCCTGACAGTCCCTCTCAGCCCAAACGGGCAACCTCAGTCTCAGCAGCAGGACCGCCATCAGTCATAATCTCTTCTTTTCTTTTTTCCTTTTTAAAGAGACAGCCTTTATTTAAGGATAGCTGAATAAAAAAATAGGCAAAGTAGGGACTGGGGGATAGTACAGTGGGTAGGGCATTTGCTTTCCATGCGGCTGGTCCAGCTCTACATATGGTCCCCTTAGCACCATCAGGAGTGATTCCTGAGACCAGAATCAGGAGTAAGCCCTGAGCAATGCTGGGTGTGGCCTCAGAACAAAACAAAACAAATTTGGAAGAATGACCCAACCTGCGCCACAGTAGAGGTCCCACACCACAACCCCTGAATGTCTGCTCGAGGCTCCCCCTTGCCGGTGAGGTAAGTCTCTGGCTGACATCACTCCGCAGAAGGCAGGCACTCTCCTTTCTGGCTGGGTTGCAGCAGCCTCCACACCTGACCTCTGCCACAGCTTCTGAAGCACTGTGAAGTTCTATTCCTGAAGTACAGATAGTCCCAGCAAATCTCATGCTGCTCACAGTTATATTTCCTGTCACTGGGTGCAGACGAGCAGAGAAGGAAAAGAGCAACCCTCAGCCTAATCCACAGAGTCTTCCAGGGAATCTAATTACAACGTCTACTTCAGGGGGCTGATGGTGTGGTGGGTAGGGCCCTTGCTTTGCACAGGCTGACCCAGCACCCCAAATGGTCCCATTGGCACTCCCTGCCAATGGGAGTGATTCTGGAGTGCAGAACCAGGAATAACCTCTCAACACTGATGGATCCCAAAACCAAACAAACAACCCAACCTCCCCAAGAAACCCAAAGACTCATCCTTAGCAGGAACACTTGAAAAACCAATAGGGAAGCTGCGTAAAAGTCCTTCAAGTTCAGTGAGCTAAACAATAACATGAAAGACACAACCAAGACCAAGCAGCTCTGGAAAACCCCAGAAAATGCCTTTAGTGACACCATGATGATGAGGATGTCTAATAAATTCAAAGAAGCGATGGCACGGGTGGTCAGCAAAGCATGAGACAGTATGAGAGCAGAAATGAGGAAACTTTATGTAGAAATGACAGAAATAAAGAAGATGGTAGGTGATATTAAAAAAATTAAAGGAAAAAGGGAAACTGGGGACACTGGTGGTGGGAAAGGTACACTGGTGAAGGCATGAGTGTTGTGTGGCTGAAACATGGTGCTGTATGGCTGGACATCGTATGACTGAAACCCAATCATGGACAACTTCGTAACTGTTTATCCCATGGTGATTTAATAAAAATATTTTTTAAAAAAGTCATTAGAAGCTCTGAGCGGCAGAATAAAGCAGCTGAGGAAAAACACTGAAAAGCTCCAAGATGAGATAGAGAAAACATAAGATGAAAATTGTTTGAAAAAAAAAAAAAACAAATAGCACACTAGGGAACTATGGGATGAGAGCTCAAGAATATAAAAACCAACAGAGTCTCTAAGGACTAGGCAGGCGAATTTGATGAAGAATAGTTAAACTTGTAGTTATATACTTCCATAGCTGAGGAATACAGACAACCAAATACAAGAGTCCCAAAGAGTCCCAGAGAAAATAGACTCAACTAGGAAAACTCCAAGACACATTATGCTCAGAATGAAAAGGACAGAGACAAGATATTGAAAGCAGTAAGGTCAGGCTCTGGTATGCTACTACAGTGGGTAGGGCATTTGCCCTGCATGTGGCTGACCTGGATTTGATTCCTGACATCCCATATGGCACCCTGAGCCAGGAGTAATTCCTGAGTGTAGAGCAAGGAGTAACCCCTGAGCATCTCCAGGTGTGACCCCCCAAAAAACAAAACAAAACAGAAAAAACAAAAACAGAACTCATGTTAAAAAAAAAAGCCCATAAAATCCACAGCAAACCTATCAGATGAGACTCTATGGACTCATATATTTGTAGAAGAGAATGGAGAAATAAAGTACAAAAATGGAATAAAATCAATACCTCACCAAGAATACTCCATCCAACTAGGTTGTTGTTCATATTTGATGGAATGATACACAACTTCATAGACATGGCTTAGGAAACTCACAGTCTTAAAACTACTTTTGCAAGAAGCAAGGCAAGCTTCCTCCCTCCCTCCCTCCCTCCCTTCCTCTTTTTGGGTCATACCTGGTGATGCTCAGAGTTACTCCTGGCTCTGCACTCAGGAATCAGGAATCAGTCCTGGTGGTGCTCAGGGGACCATACGGGATGTGCATGGTCAAATCCAGGCTGGCTGCGTACAAAGCAAATGCCCTACCTACTGTACTATAGCTCCAGCCCCCTCTTTTTTTTTGGGGGGGTATCACATCTGCAGTGCTCAGGGATTACTCTTGGCTCTTCACTCAGGAATTACTCCTGGGGTTCTTGGGGAACCATGTGGGATGCTGGGAATTGAATCTGGGTGGGCTGCATGCAAGGGAAGTGCCGCCCTCCCTGCTATACTATGACTCTGGCACCTAAAGGACTTTCTTTCTTTCTTTCTTTCTTTCTTTCTTTCTTTCTTTCTTTTTTGCTTTTTGGGTCACACCCGGCGATGCACAGGGGTTATTCCTGGCTCATGCACTCAGGAATTACTCCTGGCGGTGCTCGGGGGACCATATGGGATGCTGGGAATCGAACCCGGGTTGGCTGCGTGCAAGGCAAACACCCTACTCACTGTGCTATGGCTCCAGCCCCTAAAGGACCTTCTTTAAAGGACAAACTTCCCAGCATGTGGCACTGAGTATGGAATTCACTCATAGTTGCCCTCTCCTAGATTAAGAAAGGCATGTTTACTCCTAGCTTGAATTTTATACATTTTTAATAAAGAATTAACGTCTCATTTATATTGAATGTTCTATGTCTGATGAGGTTTTATTTTTACATCCATAGAGATTTTTATTACTATCTTTTATTTATTAATGCAGATACCTAAGCAGTATCAATAATATAATATTTTTCTAATATAGGGACTGGAGAGATAGTACAATTAGGGCATTTGCCTTGTACCTGGTAATCCCTGGCACTCCATAGGGTCCCCTGAACCCACCAGGAGTGATCCCTGAGTGCAGAGCCTGGAGTGAGCCATAAGCACCTGTGGCCCCCAAAACCAAAACCAAATTTCCCCCGATATCAAGCCAACATTCTCCTTCTTTTTTGGGGGGGAGGGCACAACTGTTGGTGCTCAGGGCTTACTCCTGGCTCTCCGCTCAGAGATCAGTTCTGGTGAGGATCAGGGGACTATATAGTGTCCTGGGGATCAAACCTGGGTAGGCTGTGTGCAAGGCAAGTGCCCTGCCAGATCCAATATTTTATCCCTTCTTAGGATAAAACACACTTAGTATTTTTACAGGCCTATTTAGATTTTCCCCTTGAAGTTTTCTTTTTTCCTTTTTGGGTCACGCCCAGCAATGCTCAGGGGTTACTCTTGGCTCTACACTCAGGAATTACTCCTGGCAGTGCTCAGGGGACCATAGGGGATGCCTGGGGATTGAACCTAGGTTGGTTTGAAATTTGTAAATTCCGGTGTCTCAATAAAAATGGTTTAAAACAAAACCAAACCCCCCAACAAAGCTACTGAAAAAATCAACATATTATTACAAGAACATGGTTAGCATTTGGCCTAATTGTGTATAATGCAGTGTATTTTCAGCTGCCTGACAGCATGCAAGCACTCTTACCAGATGGGAACTGGATGAATTATTGAATGAAACATGAATTATTAAATAAAAATTTGAATTTTATTTAACTTTTAAAAAAAAGAATTGGAAAAGTGATAAAGTGCTTTTGGAATTTAATGATTTGTATTTAAAAGGAACCAAGTGTTGACAAAGATTCACTGGCTATAATGCAAACAAGCAGGAAAATAGAGCTACTAATACTGAAACATTACTGAAATAATTGCAGGATACATGAGCCTTCTGTTGTAACAGCCCTCCTAGGTGCTGTCATTGATGCTCAAACTGCTTCTTTCCTAAACACACTGTGGCACCTTGAGCAACATTTACTCTTTCCTGTTCCTGCCTAAATACATAAAACAAAACACCAATGGGAAAACTCACCTATCTTCCCCTTAAATGTTTCTTACAGATAGAATTTTTTGTTGTAGTTTTTGGGCCACACCTGGCTGTGCTCAAGGCTTACTCCTGGCTCTGTGCTCAGGGATCACTCCTGGTGGTGCTTGGAAGACCAACCGTCTCGCCACTGGTTGACCCTGGCTCAGCTGCTTTGAAGGCAAACGGCTTACTCACTGTACTCTCTCTGGCCCTAGATATAATGTCAATCTTTCCATTCACTAGTTGTGTAGACTAAATTTTTTTTTTCTTTTTGGGTCACATCCAGTGAGGTACAGGGATTACTCCTGGCTCTGCACTCAGGAATTACTCCTGGCGGTGCTCAGGGGACCATATGGGATGCTGGGAATCAAACTCAGGTCGGCTGCGTGCAAGGCAAATGCCCTACCCGCTGTGCTATTGCTCCAGCCCCCTTCTTCATTCTTTTGAGTCAAACAACAATACACCCAAAGGGAACTGAGTCTAGAGGTTCATAGTAACAATAAAGAATTCAGGAATGGAGCAACTGACGTACCTAAAATATGAAACAGATGAAACTCTTAGCTGATGCTTGCAATAAGCTCTATTGAGCACATGGTCACAGAAGTAATACTTTTTTTTTAAGCTTTTTATTTTGGGGTTATTTATTTTTGTTTTTGGTCTACACCTGGTGATGCTCAGGGAACTACATAGGATGCCAGGGATTGAATCCAGGCAAGCACCCTGCCCACTGTGATATCTCTCCAGACCCATTTTATTTTATTTATTTTTTTTATGGGCTGGAGCGACAGCACAGCGGTAGGGCGTTTGCAATTCAAGCCACCTGCCTGGCCGAGCCGGGTTCAATCCCTCCACTGCTCTCAGAGAGTGTGGCAAGCTACCGAGAGTGTTTTGCCCGCACGGCAAAGCCTGGCAAGCTACCCGTGACGTATTCAATATGCCAAACACAGTAACAACAAGTATCACAATGGAGACGTTACTGAGCCTGCTCGAGCAAATCGATGAACAATAGGAGGACAGTGCTACAGTACTATTTTTTTTAATAGTTGTTCAATTTTTTTTAAAAAAAATTTTTTATTAGTGAAACACCATGAGGAACAGTTGTAGACTTACAAATTTTTGTGCTTGGCTTTCTCCAGACCCATTTTATAATTCAATTTTTGTTTTCTGAGTCACACCCAGATGTGCTCAGGACTTATTCCTAGCTCTGTGATCAGGAATCAGTCCTGGTGGATTCAGGGGACTATGACAAGCTTGTCTGAAATTTCATACCCAATGAAGTCTGGTCATACCTAGCACTTTGAGGCGTCCTTTCATCAACAAGTTTACAATCATGATCATCTTTTGATCACGAAAAGCAAGATTTGCATTGTTTTGCCAGTGCCAGTGATATCTTCAACAAATTTTCAGTTAAAGTTGAGAAACCATCCCAGAAATTACTTTTATGTCCTTGTTGATTCTTACAGCAACTCTTCAGTATGATAACATCTACAGTCATACAAATGGCTCTACTAGGACTTCTGTTCAATGTTTTGATGTAACACAACAAATCAGAAAAGAACTGACTGTCCCTTGAGCATATAGCTTCTTATCTCCTTCATCGCATCTTATGATCAAATTTTAAAATACTTAATTTTTTTTGAGGGGTCACACCTCCTGGTGGTGTGACCACCAAGCCAGGGCTTGCTTCTGGCTCTGCACTTAGGAGTCACTCCTGGTGGGGATGCAGGGGCTCAAACTCAAGTTCGAAAAACAAACTCAGGCTGGGTGCATGCAAGGTGAGTGTTCTATCCACTGTACTATCTCTCCAGGCCTCTTTCAAATACATTTTTTTGGGGGGAATTACACCTTAGAGCTGTCTCTCTGGCCCCTTTCTTTCTTTCTTTCTTTCTTTCTTTCTTTCTTTCTTTCTTTTCTTTCCCTTCCTTCCCTTTCTTCCCTTCTTTCTTTCTTTCTTTCTTTCTTTCTTTCTTTCTTTCTTTCTTTCTTTCTTTCTTTCTTTCTTTTTCTCTGCTTTTTGGGTCACATCCAGCAATGCTCAGGGGTTACTCCTGGCTCTGCGCTCAGGAATTACTCCTGGTGGTGCTTGGGGACCATGTGGGATGCCGGGAATTGAACCTGGGTCAGCCACGTGCAAGGCAAACGCCCTATTTTCTGTACTATTACTCCGGCCCCATCAGTTTTATCAAGGCAGCTTTATCAAGGCAGAAGAGTCCATCCAGACATACTGAGATCAGGGAGTTCCCATGATCTTAGCTACAAAAGCGGATGAGTCTTTTACTTATTAATCCTATTTAATAACCTTTAACACAAGGCTGGGGAGACAGTATAGTGGACAGGGTGCTTGCCTTGCCTGTGGCTGACCTAGGTTCAACCCCCAGCATCCCATATGGTTCTCTGAGCTCTGCTAGGAGTGATTTCTGAGCACAGAGTCAGGAGTAAGCCCTGAGCACCACCAGGTATGGCCATAAAACAAAACCAAACCAAAAATTTAACACAGAATGTCTGGTTTTTGTTTCTGAACCATCCCTGGTGGTACTTGGGATAGTTCTGGATGGTCCCAGGGGATGGTATGGTATTGGGGAACAAACCCAAGGCCCTGCATACAAATCCCGCGCTCCAGTCCTTTGAGCATCTCTCTGGTGCCTTCTTTATTATTTTTGTGTGCAGGGGCCCAGAGTCAGGTTTCACATACTGCGAGGCATGCACTTTTGTCAATGAATCACCCCGACCCCAAAACAACAAAAAGAACAGAACTGGGCATGGAAATGGCTCCAAAGGATGGTGCACATGCTTTGTCCATGTGAGGACTGGGTCTGATCCCTGGTACTGCATGGTCTCCGAGCACAGTGGGGATTTACCCCAGAGCAGAGCTATGGGTACAGTCTGAGCACCACGGGGTGAGGCCCGACCTCTGCTTCCATTGTGCCCCATCCCAAACCTGAAAGGAACAGAGTCAGGAAAAAGAAAGCGCCCTAGAGTTGAGGTACTGAGCATGAGATCCCCCAGCAAGGACCGGGAAGAACTACTCTGACAGTGGGTGTGTGGGGCCAGTTTTCCCAGGGGACCAAGAAACCCCATTTAGAGCCAGGTGCTTTCCACAGACTTGCAGAAGGAAATTCAAGAGCTTCAAGTTTGCCAGTGAAAGCAGAAATGAAGGCCCTCTCCTGGAGGGGACGTGAGTTTCAACATGCTCAAACACACTGTGGGAAAGGAGAGCCGCAGGAGAGTCTAATGAAAGGTGCGGCAGCATATCCTGGCCGAGCTCTAGCACCAGGAGAAAGACTCACCCATTGAAAAGGATCTGGGCCAGTTTGAAGAGCTCATGGCCCATTTCAACACTGGATGGTCCATGGCGAACCTCAACCACTTGGAGACTCTTCCGTAGGTGGGCGGCCGATTTCTGCCAGTCCCCTGCCAGGAAAGAAGAATCTGGTTCTGGCAAAGAACCACCATCAAGCATGGAGAACTTTTCAGGGTGGGGAGGGTTAAGGGGGAGGGACAGCAGACGGCTAAAAGGCAGACAGGTTTGGGTCACAAGTACACACGCCAGCGGGTTTGTTGCTCAAACTCACGCAGTACCTAAGGCAGCATAGGCCTGGGCCAGCGCATCTGCGATCTCCCCCACGGTTGTGTGCTCCAGGTACAGGAAGCTCTCTGCATCAACTTGGCAGCCCAGCAACACTCCAATGGCTTGCTCAACTGCTAGAAAGGAAAGTGGCCTTGTTAGGGACAAAGCCCAAGTTAGGAGAGCTCAGTCCGCACTGTCTACATTGGTGAGGCTGAATCGAGCCGCCTGCTTCTGTCTCCTCAGCTGTCACCAACCCACAATGTCTGTCCCCAGAGAACTCCTGGTTCCTCATGCGTCCTCTTCCCACAGAAAAGGACGCCAGGAAAGCACCCCCCCACCCAGGGTCTGACTGCAGTTTAAAGTGGAGTGACCACATTCCACTGTGGTTATTATTTCTTTTGACCCTGAATTCTGAGGGAAAGGTCAACTTTCTGAAAGCAGGAAACATAAATTCTCACAATGGCAGGCTCTCAGGCAGTTTTCAAGGGTAATGAGGAGTTCTACAATTCCCTTTCTGGGGAAAAAAAGTCTCTCCATTGGAACATGCCCCGCTGCTCTCTAGAAGACAGATGAGGCCCTGATGAGAAGAGAATATTCTCCCTCTCAAGTCTGGTCATTAGCCCTGGAATCAAAATAAAATGATACCGTACCTCTGGACTGTTCCAAGCTCATGGGTGTCAGCGATCACCCTTCAGGGCACTTTAACTAGCTATCTGATGCGTAGGGAACCGGGAGCTGAAATCATTTGGCCCCTTTTCAAGAACATGTGAGCTGGTGAGGGTTTGGTCTCACTGGCTTACACAGCCATCTTGTGGCTGGCATGGGGATAATTAAATTCAACTCTTCAACCATCACTGAGCTTTTTTTCTGAGTCCAAGGTGATCTCAGAATGGAAAGGACTGGAGGATCAAGGCAGGGAGTTGGTCTCACCTAGTTTACCATTTCCAAGGAGCTTCCTGGCCATCTTGATTTGCTGCCGGAGGTTCTGTAAGCGAGCGATGAGGTGATCGCGCCTGACTGGTTCCGCACAAGATGAGTTGCCACAGCTAAGAACATCACCTCCCTGTGGAAGTCAGTTTGGTCTTTATTCCTGCACCAGAGTGGGCTAGTCACACGGCATGTGCTCATGCTATCTGATTGATCTATTCTTCTGACAGGATGGGAAAGACTGCAGTTAGACCCCAAGATCAAAGCCCACTGAGCCTCCTCCTCCCTACCGGCTCCCTTCCTTCCTTTTATTGGGCCATGCCTGATGGTGCTCAGGGGATGCTCCTGGCTGGGTACTCAGGGCTCACTTCCTGATGGTGCTCAGAGGGCCATGAGGTGCCAAGTATTAAACCCAAAGCTCTCACATGCAAGACATGTGCTCTAGTCTGCTAGGAAATATAATTTTTGCAACCAAACTGGCAGAGTGCAAAATTTCTCTTTAAAACCCCACACTTCTCTCTGGGGACAGAACTCTGGATGACAGACACATTTCTAGTGATCATGAAAAAACCTAAGAAAACCAGTAGGAATGATCCGTGGTGAAGTCTCATCACATTTGACTTTGAGTCTGCAAGTTGAGACTTTTTTGTTGTGGGGGCCATATCCAGCAATGCTCTGGCCTCAAGGAACACCCCTGGAAGGGTTTGGGGGACCATATAGGGTGCTGGGGATAGAATCCAGGTTGGCTATGTGCAAGGTAAGCGCCCCACCTGCTGCTATACCATCTCTTCGGCCCTGTAACTTCAGCTTCCTAATTAACTGGGTCCTAATTAACCATCATCCAGAGTGACTGATGGCTTCCCAAGAATACCCTATCCATTGATGAGAAAAATCTGCTCAGGTAGGTATCTGCTGTTCCTTAGCAGCTGATACCCATGGTCTCCTCTGGCAATGGCGACCTGCTTTCTCCTGAGGACCCACCAACCCTCCTGTGGGCAGTGCTGGCAGCCAAAGGTGTAGCACATGCCGCTTGTCTGTTCATTCCTCTCTCCCAAAGAGGGAGAAGAAAATGACGCGGCTCTGATTTTCCTTCAGGTATGAGCATCAGGTTAGTCAAACACAATGGTACTGGTGGCAAGAAATGTGCACAGGTTCGGGACAAGTGTTGCGACATTTTATGACTGAAACCCAATCATGAATAACATAAATCTCACAGTGATTCAATACAAAATTAATTAAAAAATAATAAAACACAATGAAACTTTTTTTGGGGAGAGGGGCACACCCGGCAATGCTCACGGGTCATTCTTGGCTCTGCACTCCGGAGTCACTCCTTGTGGTACTTGGAGGACCATATGGGATGCTGGGGATTGAACCCGGATCGGCTGCTTGTAAGGCAAGAGCCCTACCCACTGTATTATTGCTCCAATCCCTCAGTGAAATTTTGGTCCAGATCTCAGAACAGCACCTGTTTTTAACCTCTTAGGCAGAGGGACTAAGAGACTGAAGCCGCCAGCAGCTACAAGGCTGCCCTGGAGGAACCTAGGGCTGAAGAGATAGTACTGGTGTTAAGGCCTTGCATGCAGCCAACCCTGTTCAGTCTCCAGCACCACCTACAGACCCCCACGCACTGCCAGGAATCGCTCCTGACAAGATTACCAGGAGTATTCCCTGAGCAATGCCAGATGTGGCCCCAACCCCCCTCTATTTCCCTAAAAGGAGGAAAGGCAATGTGAGGATGGAGTTGGGGAAATGAAGCTAAGAGAGGTAGGGAAAAACAATTGGGTCATAGGGGCTAGCGAGTACAGTGGGGGGGCGCCTGCCTCGCATATGGCTGTCTCACATATGATCCCTCAAGCCCTGTCGGAAGTGAGCCCTGAGCACAGAGTGAGGAATAATCCTGAACATAGCCAGCTGTGGCTCCAAAACCAAACAAAATAGTAAACTAAAAACTGGTATTTAAAAAAAATGGGTCTTGGGGACATTGAGTCCGTGGATCAGGCTGTATCAGAAGCACATCTGTCTGGCATCTTCCTTTTTCTTCGGTGCCACATCCAGTGGTGCTGAGGTGTGTGTGTTGGGGGCGGGGGGGGGGGGAGTATGTTGGAATGGAAGGGGAATGGGGATGCTGATGCTCAGCTCAACAGTGTGGTCTGATGGTTGGATGCCTGGGGGCCATGCAGGCTACACTTGGCAGTGCTGGGGGCGGGGGGCAGAGCAGAGAAGGGTGCTGGGAGCAAACTCAGGGCTTCACATATGCTAAGCACCTGTTCTACCACTTGAGTTATCTCCCAGACCAATACTCAATATACCGCATGAATAAATTCCCAACCTCTCCACCACACACACCCTCAAAGCCAGTGTTTAGGTGGTACTTCCTGCTATTTGCAAGTGAAAGAGGAATCCTAAATGCAGCCTTGCACCAAGGTTCCTGCAGGGGGTAATGTAAGTGGGGAGGGTGGGCTGGAAGGGAAGAGGTCACAGTACTCTCGCACTGCTAAGTCCCAACAGCTTCCTCTTAGAGATTTATGGCCTTGGCCTGGCCTCCAGGAGAAGAGGGCAGAGATTTACCTGCAAGAGTGCTCTGCACCGGTGACAACAGAAAGCTTCCCACCTGGGCCCTGCAGCGAGGCTGTGCTTCTCCTTTTGACAGGCGGGGCAACCGCAGTCAAAGAAATACTGAGACCTTAGCTTCCGCTGTCTTTCCGCAACGCCCATCCTGCTCTCGTGAGGCCCTGCAGGGAGACCTTACTTGGCCAATGTTCAAAGCAAAAGAGTCAAGCACCGCTGAAGGAACTTCAGCTCAGGAGAGGGTCTGGTTAATTATTCATCATCTGACAGGGACTTTTCACATAAACAATCGTGGAACTAGATAAAGGCACACATTATTCCCAAGTGGCAGGAGAAGGATGAAAAAAGAAGTCAAAATGTCATCATTCTTAGTTCATTTTCAGACGGGAAGTTTACACAGGGATTAATTAGGTAGCAGGGTATAGAGTAGTATAGAAAAAATAGGACCCTGCTAAGAAGGTCTTTTTTTTTTGAGAGGGCCACACCCAGAGATGCTCAGAGGTTACTCCTGGCTCTGCACTCAGGAATTATTCCAGGCAGTGCTCAGGGGACCATATGGATCCGGGGATAGAACTCAGATCAGCTGAGTGCAAGGCAAGTGCCATATCCGCTGTGCTATTGCTCCAACCCCTAAGAAGGTTTTTCTGTGGAGGGGGTAGGGGTGGGGAGGGGAGGCCCAAGTTTGTGTTTCCTCTCATGGAAGCCAACACTGGTGACGCATCCCAGGCGAGGCTCTTCCTCACACATGGTGGGGGCATGCATGCTGCTGGAGCCTCACCGTAGCAGTGGAGGATCTCCTGCCCTTTCCCAATCTTCTGGGATGCGCGAACCGTGGCCACAGTGCCCAGGAAGGACACGCTGGTGTTGGGGCTGCAGGAATGGTTCAGGAGGCTGACCACTGGGAAGACACCTGTGGCGAGGCGGACCTGCCTGCTGTCGGCGACGATGTTCTCATTACATCCTTGAAAGGACAGGAAGATGAAAGGGGACATGTGTCAGGGCGTTCGTCCTGGCTGTGCCGTTTGTGCTCAGAAGATGAGCTGGGCCGCTGGGCCTACAGCCCATCTGAGTCACCGCTCCACAGCCGGATCCAGCGTGAATCAGATGGACCGTGACTCGCCAGCAGGCTCTGGCCCCCAGGAAGCAAAGCAAATGGGCACAAGAAAAGTCCGCCGGATGCCAGAACCTAGCCATTGTGTCTCCATACCATTAAAAAAAAAACACAAAGATTAGAAGAGAAAAATATATCACTAGGGAGCCTTCTAGATAGACGGTTTTGGAACGGTCATGAGGCTACAGAAACCTGACTACCTGTAGAGACGGTATCCAGGAGACTTTAATGCAAGTGCTTTTAATTTACTTGGCTGCTTAATAAAATAAGTTATTCAGAATCCTGGGCTGGAGTGATAGTACAGCGGGTAGGGTGTTTGCCTTGCACACGGCCAACCTGGATTCGATTTCTCCGCCCCTCTCGAGAGCCCAGCAAGCTACTGAGAGTATCACACCCTCATGGCAAAGCCTGGCAAGCTCCCCGTGATATATTCAATATGCCAAAAACAGTAACAACAAGTTTCACAATGGGGATGTTACTGGTGCCCGCTCGAGCAAATTGATGAACAACGGGAGGAGAGTGCTACAGTGCTACTTAGAATCCCAAGTTAAACAGGTTTATACATTAGCTTTTGCTTGTTTGTTTGCTTTGTTTTAACCCTGGCTCAGAGGTTACTCTGAGCTCCGCACTCAGGAATTACTCCCAGCAGTACTTGGGGGGATCATGTGGAATGCCAGAGACCAACCCTGGGTCAGCTGTACGCAAGGAAAACCCCTTACCTGCTTATTATCTTTTCAACCCTATAATCTAGTTTTTTTTTTTTAATCAGTATTTCTTGGAGCTGGAGTGGTAGCCTTGCATGTGGCCCAACCTGGGTTTGATTTCCAGTATCCCAGTATTCCATATGGTCCCCCAAGCATGGCCAGGAGTAAGTCCTGAGTGCATGAACCAGGAGTGATCCTTGTGCATCACTGGGTGTGACCCAAAAAGCAAAAAAAAAAAAAAAAAATCAGTATTCCTTTTTTTTTTCTTTTTGGGTCACACCTGGAAATGCACAGGGGCTACTCCTGGCTCATGCACTCAGGAATTACTCCTCGCAGTGCTCGGGGGACCATATGGGATGCTGGGAATCGAACTTGGGTCGGCTGCGTGCAAGGCAAACGCCCTACCCACTGTGCTATCATTCCAGCCCCCAAATCAGTATTCCTTTTGCCTAATTTTCCAATGGAAAATTGGTCAGCAGTAGTTTTCACTGGGAACTCTGCTCTGTACTAGGTCTATCCCAGCTAGTATTTGAGCTAATTCCCTTTTTTGAAACACAATCAAGTAAGGTTTTTTTTTTTTTCTTTTTGGGTCACACCCGGCGATGTTCAGGGGTTACTCCTGGCTCATGCACTCAGGAATCGCTCCTGGCGGTGCTTGGGGGACCATATGGGATGCTGGGAATCGAACCTGTATCGGCCATGTTGGCTGCGTGCAAGGCAAACGCCCTACCCGCTGTGCTATTGCTCCAGCCCCAAGTAAGTTTTTTTTTTCCCCTTTTGGGTCCACCTGGCAATGCTCAGGGGTTACTCCTGGTTCTGCACTCAGGAATTACTCCTGGTGGTGCTCGGTAGACCATACGGGATGCTGAGGCTTTAAGCCGGGTCAGCCACAAACAAGGCAAATGCCCTACCCGCTGTACTATTACTCCAGCCCCACAATCAAGTAGTTTAACAAAATGTTTGAAAATTAGGAAGGGGGAAAAAAAAGGCCTCCAAGGGAAGAAGTCATTTCTGCACTTAGATTCATGCATAAGTTCTCCGTGCTCATCTGCAGACCGACTGTTTCAAATGGCTCATTATTCAGTTTCTCTCCCCAATAGCACACAGAGTCTCGGTAAGAGGGAGGTATTTGGACAACGAGAGACAGGTGATAGCCCAGAGAAGGAGGCAGAGCATTATACAAGAAGAACAGCCTTAGGCAAACAAAGACACTAGCACCCTAAGTTTTACTACGCTCTAAGGTTTCACTTAAGGGGGCAGGAGCAATAGTACAGCAGGTAGCGCGTTTGCCTTGCATGCGGCCGACCTGGGTTCGATTCCCAGCATCCCATATGGTCCCCCCAGCACCGCCAGGAGTAACTCCTGAATGCAAAGCCAGGAGTAACCCCTGAGCATCACCGGATGTGACCCAAAAACAAACAAACAAACAAATAAATAAGTAAGGTTTCACTTAACCAGAGGTTCCTGGGCAGATGATATCCCAGCTTGGGTTTCCGGAACAGCCACACAAATCCCAGGAACATGTATAGGTAATCCTGGGCACCAAAACTGGCACGTGTGCAGCAGCTCTGGGTTAAGCATGAGGAAGTGCTATTTCCAACAAAATTGAGATACGAAAGATACTGGAACTAAAAGGCAAAGCTTCCTTTTCTTTTTTGAAAATCATCAGATTGTGAAATATGCCAAATATCAATCACTCAAGAAAGAGAGTAGTCTGGATAAAAATAGAATGAGGAGAGAAAACATCATGAACTGCCATGTAAAAATATTCCAGAAAGGAAAACATTAAATATAGGAATAATGTTGTCCCTATGAAGAGCATTCTATTATTTGTTGCTCTGAAGGATAAAAATAGAAAGATTAAAAAATGTTCACAGGGAATCCAAATGACTCAATTCTGATCAATCCTACAAATTGTACTGAAATCTTTCATCAGAGCTCTTCTAAAGTGGTTAACTGATTTTATTTTCCCTTTCCCTCTCCTCCCCCCCTGCTTGTCCAATGCCTACCTTCTGGCACATGTGCTAATGAGCAGTGAAAATGCTAAAAGGTAGGCAGCAGGAAGGAGAATTACAGGGCATGAACAGTTTGTAGTCTGAATAATCAGCTTCTGCATAATTAAAAGTTGACTTGCATTCCCAACTACTGATAACTGGCAATCTATATTAGAACAGTTGCTAAAATTTTCCCAGAAGAAATGATCACAATACAGTGAGTAATGTCAGCTTCGTGAATTATTTATAGATTATCCTCTAACAGAAGGAGGCCCAGGAACTGAGTGGGGTGCATATTTATGCCAGAGTTGAGTCTCTAATTGTTTCTAAAAAATTAAGTATTGATTGGGAAAAAAAAACTTGTTCAATATTTTACATTCCTCATCTATTAGTTGAGGTAATAAAAAGAATTTATGTATGTACCCTATCACCCAAACTTAATGCGTGACATTCTGTGCCTAAAACATGAAAGAGGGGATGATTATTTAAACAAGTGCACCATGCTAATATAGCTAGCACGTTTAAAATGAGATTCAAGAAAAGGGGGGGGGGAGAAGACTCATTTACTATACTCCAATATAAACCCATTCTGGCAGATCTTTTGAAAAACATGAAGGTGGTTATTAATTTTTTTAATTTTGGGGCCACACCCAGTGGTGCTCAGAACTTACTCATGGCTCTGCATTCAGGGATCACTCCTGGCACGTCTGCGGGCCAGGGGGAAAGACCATAAGGGGTTCCAAGGATCAAACTCAAGTTGGCCATGTGCAAGGCAAGAGCCCTACCCACTGTTCTGCCTGAAATATGTTTATACATCAAGTAATCAAGGTCTCAAACTGAAGGCTGTGGATTCCTAGTTGCAGGAGAGTAAAAGCAAGGGCAGTTGATTGATCTGCAGCCACACAGATGTGCACACTGAGCCTTATCAAGCACAGTAGGGACAGCCACATGTATCACCCATGTGCCTTTCCCACGGAGAGACAAGCACATACACCAGAGTCCAGGAGATCATTGGGCCTAGACTGTCCTGACGATAAGTCCCAGAAGGAGGTTTCTGAGCCACTTTGATTAAACAGGACTTACGTAAAGATAACAACATACATTTTCATAGGTTTTTGTTAAAGTCTATCCTAGTTTAACACTCTAATCTTTCTCCTGTGCTACTAATGAAACAGCTGCTAATGAAATTCAATGAGAACACTAAACTGGGAGGTGTTGGAATCCCAAAGAAATAATAAAAAAGGGATATAATAAGATTAGAAATACGAGCAGACAAAAACAAAATTAGATTGAATTAAAAAATGAAAGTGAACACTGCCGGTGAGTAACTGGTACGACTTTCCTGGAGGGCACTGCTGTCCTGTGAATCAAGTGCCTTGAAAAAACTGACAGGGGTCTGGAGGGGTAGATAGTAGTATGGTGGCCAGCGATTAGAGAACCTGTCTGGTAAGTGCATGAGGAATCCAAATCCCTGATGACCCTGAGTGTAATGTCGGCTGCTCGAGTCTGTGATCCCCGGGGACTGCAGCTCAACCAAGTGTGTGAGCACTTCCAAATGAGAGGTGGGGGCTGAAGAGAGTGCAGCAAGTAAGGTGCGTGCCTTTGGGTATGGCCCCGGTACTGCATATGGTCCCCCGATTACCACCTGCAGTGACCGCAAAGCACAGAGCCAGAAGTAAGCCCTAAGCACTGCCAGGTGTTGCTCCAAGAGAGAGGAGAGAGGAAAGAGGAGAAAGAGAAGAGAGAGAGAAGAGGAGAGGAGAGAGAGGAGAGAGGAGGGAGGGAAGAGGAGAGAGATAGAGACAGAAAGAATGAGAGAGAGAGAGAGAGTCTGGCAACTGAAATTGACTAATGTGTCAGGGCCAGAAGATCATGGAATGGACCTGGGCAAGCACCTCAACTAGGTGAGCATAGCTACCCACCACTGAATGTGTGGCTCTGGTCATTGCAATAACAAAGGAAAGGAAGAGGGAAAGGCAATAAAAACATGGGATTAAAAAAAAGTGGGTTTGGGGCTGGAGCAATAGCACGGTGGGTAGAGCGTTTGCCTTGCACACGGCCAACCTGGGTTCAATTCCCAGCATCCCATAAGGTCCCCTGAGCACTGCTAGGGGTAATTCCTGAGCGCAGAGCCAGGAGTAACTCCTGTGCA